ATCACAAGGGTTGCCATACAAATAACATCGTGCAAAAAACCAATGCAGAACACACAATTGTGCCAAAAACCAGCACAAAACACATATTGCCACATTTGGCAACGCCATACATCTGAGGGCATATATAATAGTACCACCATTTTGAATTTTCCTAAATTGATTTTTAGAAGAGTGTTATAGCGAATCGGTGTAAAATGTGACAATGTAAACCGGGGTATTAGTGTATAGTAGAATTTATCAGCTTCGAGGTAGTTGTCAGTTTTATATTTCACAAAACAAAAGTGCACCAGGAAAAGTGAAGTGTTGATATCCTGAAGAATCAGTACCCTTCCTTCTGATATAGAACTTCTGAAGCACTAAGATAGTTAATCTCCACATGTAAATGGGGAAGAAGGGGAAAAAAAAAGACAAATAACTACATGAAAGATAAATAATTTCTTTTAGAATTTGTAATATTCCATTTTCTGCCAGTAATTATTAATCTTTATTTATTGATCATGTATAATCTTTCTGTAAAAATGGCAGAAATTTATATTTTCATACTCATCTCATAGAAAGAGTCAGTGAAGAACATAAGCTTCATAGTCATATTAGCTGAACAGCAAGAACTTTAATACTGTTATCCATCATTGTGCAATACCTGAGGTATCATTAATAAAATTTTGTAGACTGTATACAAATAGTGGTGAATACAGCTGTACGTTTTCCTGATGGAAATTTTAAAAGATGCTTTGTATGTTAGAAAATAATCATATAGAAACATGGGCTTCAATTTTTTATTAGTAGAGAAAATTTATATGGAAGCTGGAGTTTTAAGTTCCCATTATGTAGAAATGTTATTTGCAATTTTTTGTTTTTGTTTATGTGTTTAACATAATTCCGTTTTCATGCAGCCTCTGAAATGAAGTTCATTTGTCTTTCTGTGTATTGTAATGCGTTTTATTGTTTTTTTCCATGCATAATGTGAATACTTTTTTCTCAAAGTCTACCGCTAGGACATCCCTCTTCCTAGGCAGATAGCCCTCATGGCTTTGCCATATTCAAGTAACCTAACATATCTATATCTGATAAAATGAGTAAATTTCGTTTCAGGGGACACATATAAAAATTTTCAGCTTCTTACATTTGGACTAAAGCAGGGTGGGCAAATTTTTACAGGGTATGGGCTACTTCTAAATTTTTTCAAGGTGTTGCAATCCATGCAGCGACGTAATCGTGGCGAGCTAAAAAAAAGGTCTACAGTATTTATTATAACTTGATAATAAATACGGAATATGAATTCACCTACCTAACCCTACTTAAAAAATACTCACTGTTTTAAAACCACATTTAAAGCGAAACGCAAGATATTAACATAATAATAATAGCCAAAAATTTTATAATTTCAAATGATTTATTTCTTATCAAAGAATTCAAAATACATTAAAAATTAAATCATTTTCATCTAAAGTTAGTTCTTGTAGTTATAGTTAACAGAAGTTCTTAGTCTGCGTACAGTCCGCCAATGTTGAATATCGCGGTATATAATTACTAACTACTAATCTTGTGCTGGATTGTAAGTGGTCGTCTGTGAGATGGGAACAATATGTTGTCTTAATTATATTTATTGGTAAAAATGCAGATTCACACTGGTAGGTAGAGCCAAAGAACGATGTTAAATGAAATGCAACTTTTTTTTTTTTTTTTTTTTTAATTAGGCTACTTGTCTTCGTCCATTAGATTCGAAAAGTTTTTCTTAGGTTCTGAACTACATGCTTTTAAAATTATGCCACTTTGAAAAAGAAAAACTGAATTTTCCTCAAGAGATAAACAGAATATATTCAGTTGTTTCTTCCACATGAATATTGCCAAATGGGTAACACATGAATGTAACAATTGGTTCTAGTCTCCTAAATTCTTGAAAACGTCTCTCAAATTTGGAGTGAAGTTTTATTATTTCATCATAATATTTCTCTTTGTTTAATGTACCTCCATTTTTTTAAACAACTCATCAGAAATATTAATTTTTTTTTTAGTTTATTCTTCGTCAACTAGGAAGATATTAGCTTTAACCTGTTTTTGAAAGTATTAACAAATCCAATAAATTTTACTATTATTTGATTTTTTTCCTTGCAGTTGTAAGTTATGTCAACAACAAAAGCTAAATCCATCAACCAAACATCATCACTATACTCGGCGTATGCTTTATCATTTGATTCCAAAAAGTCTTTTATGTGTTGTGGTAGGTCCCTGAATCTTTTTAAAAATATACTCTAACTTAACCAATGGACATCTGCATGATATAACAATTTCCCATAATCAGATTCGTTTTCTTCTGGTTGGGCTCATAATGTTCTACTGTGAAGACTTCTTCCTCAAACTGAGTTCACAATTTTCATACAAATTCTCATAACATGACGCATATTTAAAACTTTACAATAGAGGACATGTTGGTGAATAATGCAATGGTAAGAAAAGAAATGCAGTATGTCATTATCTGTGATACACATAACCAAAAATCCATTGACTGTGCCAGTCATTGATGAGGCCCCACCAGTTGTCATACAACTTTATAAAATATATTTTTTTTCTCCTCTATGTAATTTTTGAAGGTGCAGTTAACATCTTCACCTTGTGTTTTCTTCATTAGAGGTAATATTGTTAATAATTCTTCTTTTACGCTCATATTCTTAAAAACTGTTCTTATAAAAATACAAAGTTGAAAAATATTACCCATGTCCATAGATTCGTCAAACTGCAAGCAAAAGCAAATATAGTTTGTAATATCTTTGGTCAACTGATCAGCCAGATCAGAATTCGTAATTTCTATATGGCACGTGACGTTCTACGCGAAAGTTGTACGTCTTTAATTGCGGAAATAGTTTTGTTTTTGTTATTGAATGAATCAAATAAAGAATCGCTTTTTGTTTATCATTTCTCCATCTGTGAAATGTTTATCATGCTTTGCTAACACATGAATCACACGAAAAGATACTTTTGTTTATGCAATTCGCTTTTTAATGCAAATCTGTTTCAAAACTTTCCTGCATGCTTTTGAAATGCCTTTCAACGTTTCCTTTTTTTGGAAGTGCCACACTTTAATGGCACATATATAGCACACACATTTTGTATTCACCATTGTAAAGAAAAACTGTTCTTCCCATTCTGTATTAAAAATGCATGTTTCTCTTTTCTTAATTACTTGTTTTTGACATTAGTTCATGGATGTATTCAATGGAGTGAGCAGCAAACATGTGAACCGATGAAACTGTAACCGACGCAAGTATTTAAGCGTCATTGTGCGCTTCCAGTGAAGGGACGTGTGTTGTTTATATAGTCATCAAACCATTTGCTTAAGTAAACACAGTCGCATCAATTGTGAAAAGCTGATTCTCCAGTCTAACTGGCATCGGTGTTCCATAAATGTTCCGTAAATACGTTTCTTTTAGTATGTGCATCTTAGGTCTTTGTAAAGGCAGTTACCCCAAAATGTCATGGCGGTTCACCGGTCGATCGCGATCAACTTATTGCCCATCCCTGGACTAAGGTGTCACATGACTAAATTGTAATCTTTTGGAAGCCTTTCTATTATTAAATAAAGTTCTGTTATTGAACTGTAACAATGAGTTTATGATTAATCATGTAAGAAATATTTAGTTATGCAGCTTTTTGAAGCACCTGTGTAAATTACACCTGTATTGTAACATTACAAAGTATTATACCAAAACATAATATTTCATAATATACATTGATATTAAGAATAGAAATTAATATGCTGTAAAACGTGTAATAAAAATGAATATGCAATTAAAGAGATATAATTGTAAATATATTAATCTTTTGACATTTCATGTAGTTAAGATAATGAAATAATTGATAATTCTTCCATTTTTATATGTACAGTCAAAAGTCGTTAATTCGGACACCCATAATTCGGAATGATCTATAATCCGGACATAAAAACTAAAAACTTTACTGCGCATGCACCGCGTTAACACATGCGCATAAGGCGTTTCACGCGTGCGCGTAAGACCTTTTACGACTGCGCGCGCATATGAGTGTGCACAAGTGTAGAATACATTTTTCGCGTGCGCATTTTATGTATAATGGACGTATAAGCTAAAATTATCTAATTATCTATTTCAGTTAATGTTGATGATTGCGTTGTTCCTTAATTTTCGAATTGCATCCGGCTTATTATTTTTTGCAGACTGTAAGAGCAATTTTATAAAAAGTAAGCTTAAACTTTCGATTATATCAAATAGAATTTCCAATATATATATTGTTAATATGTAAAGGATCTAAAGCGAAAGTGTGTTTTGAAATCCGAAATCTGTTTATCAATTTCACGCTGCTCGGGGCGGGTGCGTAATGAATTGGAAGTTGATTTGTCAGCACTATCCTTATCTCAGCGCAGATGTTTTTATTTTTATTTGGCTTATAATTCCTTACCAAATGTAGTATTTCATCTCGGATATGATTTTAAAACAAGTTCCTCGTCATTATAATTCGCTTCCGATAGCGAAGAAAGTGACAGAGGTTATTGAAAACAAAAAAAATTTCGATTGACAAAATTAGCCGGTGTTCTGACACAGCAATTATAGGACTTGAAACGGCAGAACTTTGTAAATTGAACAAGAAATTAGTTCTGTTTAATAGAAATTAAAAGAGAAAGTATTATCACATGAAAAATGAAGCAAAACTTAAACAACTTACATTGAAAGAAATGTTTAATAAAGTAAACAAATAAATATTAAGCTTTTTCTTTTTGCAAATTTTGATACCCTTTAGATCATAATTGTTCTTTATTTCATAAATTACGGTTTCATATTTTTAATTTTAGAATTTCTGCATGCCATCTTACGAGATTTAAACTGATGATCTATAATCCGGAATCGCCGAAGTCCCGACGAGTCCGGATTAACGACTTTTGACTGTATTTTGAATAGAAAATGTTGTTCTTTTACTGAAATGTATATAGTAATAATTATTATTGAAAATCGAACTATGTATTTTTATAGGTTTTAGCAGATTATAACAAATCAGCCATCTGTTTTGAAAACACTCTGAAAGTGCAACCTGATTTTAAAAATGCAGAGCAGAGGTATCATGCTGTCATGTGCCATAGCAAACTTGAGAAAGCTCTTGAAGCCCAGCACATGTAAGAATATTAAATAGTCATTTTATTTTGTAATGCTTTAAAATTAATATTTATTGTTCTTTTTATGCATTTATGCACATAAAAAATATTTATTGGGATACAAAGTTTGAAAATTTTGTGAATGATGAGGATTCGTAAATTATTTATTGACAAATTTATGAATTAGTTTAAATTTTCAGTGGCTGTATATAATTTTTTGTTATACGGAAGTCACTCTAAAATTTTTGAGATACATATATAGACGATAAGGGGCAGAAAAACATTAACAGTTAGATTTGAAAATATGAACTGTTTCAGCCGACAGAAGATTTTTCGTTGGCCAGTTGCAAGTAGTTAAGCATAGAATAAATTTTAGGCAGAAAAAAAATGGAGTTTATGTGAGAACATTATCGCACTATGATTTTCTATGATTTTAAAATGAGATTGAATCAAGAAGAATGCGTTCAATGTCTACAATTAGCATTTGGAAATGAAGGTTCATCTTGTGCTACTGTATTCAGATGGTTTGCAGAATTTCACAGAGGTCACAATTCTCTTCAGGATGAAGAACGCACTTGAAGGCTGTTTTCAGCAGTAATGTTAGTCATTGATAAACGCTACACCTACTACCACATGATACAGTACATTGGATCAGTCTCCATTCATAAATTTATTCAGGAAGAATTGCATATGAAAAAACTAGTTTGCGGTTGGGTTCCGCATAATTAACTGAGCACCAAAAGGAGGAATGTGTCAGAATCAATAAAAAACACTTAAATTATTGAAAGATGGTGGCCATCATATTGTTTCTAAGAGGATAACTAGTGGTGAAATGAACATATCATTTTTTGATGTTTCAATATGTCAATTAAGTAAATACGGGTCTTTGAAAATGATCCCACGGCCACAATGGTGAAAAGACAACGTGTAATAAAAAAGTAATGTATGTCGTTTTCTTCAGAAAGGCAGGACTGGTCAAAGTATTTAAGAGATTCAAAGGGTTTGGGATCTTTTAAAATTGTGATCTAAATTTAAAAAAAAAAAAAAAAAAAAAAAAAAAAAAAAAAAAAAAAAAAAAAAAAGAAAAAATAAGATTGTCTTGCCTGTAACTTAAAAGGTAAAAAAGCTAGACAACTTTAATCAATTAAAAGTTGTGTGCTAATAAATGAAGTACATAAAGTAAAATATGTGGAATTTTACTTATAAAATATTTTACTTTATGTAGTCGAACATTTAGTAAATAAAGTTAATGTAGCGCAGGGTTTCTTAAACTGTGGGTCACGGCTCCGAATGGGGTCGCGAAAATTCAGTTCGATAGTTGAATTTAAGGAAACTGTATTCATAAGACTTTTAAAGACATTACATTAATTGATATTAATACAATTAATTACCTGTTATATAAAGTACAAAAGGAATCAGTAAAGGTATCTAGCGATTCAAACTTAAAATTTGAGTTTTCACAAAAATCCTTGATAAATTCTGAATTGGAGTTAGAACTAGATTTCTCACTATTTTTGAAATGACATTGAATTTTCATCTCTCATTCAATGCTGCATATTTTTATGAAACTACTTTTTCAGCTTTAATGCTAATTAAAACCAAATCAACATTGAAACATGTTGGAGATGTTTTATGTCCAGCAGTGTCAAATATCGCATTAACATTTAATTTGTTATGCAGCAGTAAACAAACACATCTGCCTTTTTAGAATTTTCTTTAATTTTTGCTTGCTTAAAATAAACCCTAACGTTACTTCTTTTTAAATGTTTATTGTTTACCAAAGAAGTAAATTATTTACGGGAGGATATTGATTTTTGTATTTAATATCTGGGGTTGTAAAAAAATTCTGAGTGATAAAAAGGGGTCGTGTCTGAAAAAAGTTTAAGAAGTCCTGTTGTAGAATATATATACTAACAAAGTAAAAAATAGATATACACACAAATATATTGAATTTTATGTTTTATAGATCTCTACAGAGAACTCTGACCGAACTTCGAGAATACCAGAAACAACACGAGTATTGGTTACGTCAACATGAAAAATTATTGAATGAGCAGGCACCTCCAGAAGTTAAGTTAGAACAGAGGCTTGAATATGAAGAACAAAAAATTCGTGAAAGTTTGGATGGCAGAGGTATGGAAACATGCGGTCATTCAAAACAGTGCTGGGGGGGTTTACCCATTTTGTTCACGGTTATGCCGCCCTCCTGACATATGTGGTACTCAGATAAATTATATTTATCCATTAAAGCTTTATCAACTTTATATGAAACAAATTATAGGTTTTATAACAATTCGAAGCTTGATTTTTTGTAAACATTTTGTTGTTTTAAATATGTTGCTTTGTTAAAAAAAAAAGAACAGATTTTGTGAGTTATGTGCTTGCTGAGGTTTTTTTTTTTTTCACTCTGTTATTCGTTCAAAATTATTTTTTCTGCATTAGCTTGAGTGTGACAGTTTTATATGCAATGTGAAACTTGATTTACAAATCAGTTAAAAGTATTTGGTGTTAATTCAAAAAGTCTCCTCATTAAAGAACTGATGCAGAAAATTGAATCTCAATAAAGACAGTATGACAGATGTGAATAACATTTATTCAAATGTTTGTACTTAATCCATGTGTTTGTAAGAAAATATGCTTTCGTGTATTTGATAAATAATGGGCAATTTTGAAAATGAACATAGCATTTACAGTATGGAATAGCCTATAAGCATAAAGTCAGACTTATTCTCATAGGCTATTTCATGCTGTAAAGGATACCATAGCATACTGTAAATGCTATGGTCTTAAACTTTGGTTTATAGGAAATTAAATTATATTTCTTTGTGTTGAGTCTGTGTGATAAATTTAATGAGTTTCTTTATCATATATAAAGTGCTGACAGGTTTTAGCAATTGAAAGTATTTTATTAATTTATTGATGAAAAAATAAGCTGAAATGTGAATTCAGCAAAATTAATTGTGACAAACTAAAAGCAGTAGAATGATTTAAGTGCAGTAGAATGTCTTTTATTGGATATCTTTTCTATTTCAAACATCTCTGTCTTTTTCATTTATGAAGCAAATCATTAAATCAATTATCATTAAATCATTAATCAATAAAGCTGCATTTTTATATTAATATTTTATATATGAGACATTAATTTATTCTTAGCAGTGGGCATGTTTCAGCATAGTTCAAAGCAAAATTTCTCAATCCTTTTATTCACAGGTAATGTGATAATTCTACTCTCCTGATTACAACTGATAAGATTTTGTGTAAATTTTTAATGAGATGGTATTTCACATTTTCAGTGCCACTTTAAAACCCCAACCTATTAAAAAAATTCTGCAGGAAAAAATTTAGGAACACTCTTAAAAATATTCATCAGCTGTTTCATTTCAGAACAGCTGATGAATGACTTTTGAATTCACATTCTTGTTTGAATTTAAAATAGTAACTTCTACCATATATCATCTGGAAACATGGTATCATTTGAAAGAATAATTCAGAAGTGCAGATACAGATGTTTTTTGAACAGAATTGATTAAGTTATAATTTTAGTGTCAAAGAATATCAAACTCAGGTCAGTGCAAATGTAGTCTTTGTAATTCCTGTTGCTTGGATCCATGTAAAAGGTATGAGTTTACAGAAAGTTTAGTAAAAATTGTCACCAAATATTAGAAGTGTTTTTCTTATTTTTTCAGAAGACATGTAGCATATGAGAAATAGTTAATGCTAAATTATGTATTAGAAAATGGTTGAAAATTCTTTTTGTGGTAACAATACAGTAAGTTAGAAAAATAAGTTGCTGAATGCCAAGTTATCCAAATAGTTTGCTTTCTAGCATGTTTTCGGTTATTAAATACATCTGCACCTATAAATTTGTTTAAAATTTTTCATAATATGTTATAAAGTCCAATAATCTGACATATGAATAAGTCCAATAATCTGACACATTTGATAATCCAAAATTATCAGTCTAGAACAGAGGTCTTCAACCTTTTTGTCCCTAAGAACACATTCTAGAACATCTGTTGGAAGGCAGGCACCATTTACTTTTTCAAGGTGAATTTATAGTTAATAATACATGCACATAAAAAAGAGATTGATCGCAATACTGTTTTTGTTGGTATCTGTGTTAGGTGCAATTTCTATTTTATTAAAAATGAGAAAACTTTCACATAGAATTCTACTGAAAACAAACATTTTTAATTGTGATCACACAGCAGCGGGCTTACGTTAAACAATCGGCGGGTGCTATGGTGCCTGCTGGTATAGGGTTGGGAACCCTGGTCTAGAACATGCAGGATTATAGTGTAATAGTTCAGTTTACTTGATAATTCAGAATTTTCTTTCAGTCTCAAACATGCTAGATTATTGTACTTTTATAGTACAAATTTCTAAAACTGAAAACAAATTTTTATGGTGCTTTATGAATTCTTTTTGTTGTTTATATTATTGTATTCATTATTAACTATATCCAGCTGTAAAAACGCTTTGTGAAAGTATATGTTGTTCACTGCACCTTCGGTAGTTTGATATCATACTAAAAGATTTGGAATTGCTCTGTTAAGTGCATTTCGGATGAAATATAAGATAATCAGAGTCACTTTGTGCTACTTAAAAATTGAATGCATTTTTAGTTTATCAATTATAAGTATTTTTTAAACAGTAAAGGGTAGAAAATTCAATTTTAGTGCTATAAAATTTCTCTTAACAGCTTGCAACATGTACAACTTCAGCAACTAAATTTCCAAACATTGTCCTGAAGTTGCTACTTTGATACCATACAATTGATTCTTTAGATAAAATTCCTCAGGGTGTGGGAACAACAACTTTAGAACAAATGTAGCTTTCATTTTGGAAACTGATGATTCAGTGAATTACTTTATTGTAAATTTTTACTATAAAGGTTTTTCAAGTAAATTTACAGAAATTTAATTTAAAAACGTAAAATATAGAACAGTACTACCTTGTTAGCCATTTAGAGAGAAATGTGTGGGTTACGCTGCAAATGTACTTTTGTCTGCGAATTGTGACCATTTTTTGATATTATTAAATTTCAGGTGATAAGTAATGTTACATAAATTTTTTTGCTCAAAACAATTCACCATATGGATTTAGTTTACATCCAGAACATCAGTTTATATATATATATATATATATGAAAAGGTTTTATAACTTCTTTCAAATGGCAATCATTGCAAAAGTATTTGAAGAAGCTATGTATATAAATTTATTTTAAAGCGTACTGTTTATTTTGTATGCTATGCCATGTAATAAAACTTGGAAAAGTGAAATGTATTATGATATGCAGTATCAAATTTACTGCTTTGATCAATGGTGCTACTTGCTTTGACTAATTACTGCTTTGACTTTGATCACTGCTTTGACTGTATCAAATTTACCGCTTTGACTAAATTTGATTGCAGTATCAAATTTACTGCTTTGACTAATTGACTTTACTTAAAACTTGACTTTTCATTTCGGTTTTATTATGTAAGAATGCTGCGCAATTGAATGAAACAAATGGACAGCCATAGTTGTAGAATACATGTAAAAATTGATGTATTGTATGTAATTATTGTCAGGATGAATTTTAAGATTTTAATTGTTCGTTCTTCATCTGCTGATAATAAATCATTGGGATTTAGAATTCATGGAAAGCACTATGATGGAAGTGGCTCATTTGAGAAAGTTCTTTTAAGTACTGAACTGCAAATTTTGTATTAAGGGACGGGGGACTCAAAAGCTAAACAAAAAAACAACACAAAAGTTAAGTATTTGTAAATTCCCTGCAGTTTAATGATTTATTGCAAGGAAAAATAAGATGATTAGCAAATTCCTGTAATTATGTGTCCTTCCAGTGAATTCAGAAAGGCATCTTAATGTGAGTATTGAAGTCGCAGAATTGCCACAAGCATTTGGAATGAAGTAATTTTTTTTTTTTCTTATGACAAGTTCACAGTTTAATAATTAATTGTGGGAAAGAATAAAATTAGTAGAAAATTTATCTTAATTATGTGGCAACGAGTACTTAGATTGAGAAAGAGATCTTTATGTCAGCATTTGTAGGCCACAGGGTTGCCACAAGCATTTGGAATGAATTTTTTTTTAAAGCAAGTTCATTAATTTTTAGGTCTTCTCAATGATATCAAGGTTGGTAGCATCCTTGATATCATTGAGACATCAATGTAACATCAATAAGAATTTTAAGAGGTGTTTCACCTCTGAATTATATTTTAATTACATTAGTTGTTAAGAGTTTTTTTTTAACATTTGGAAAAGTGAGTTAAAGATTACAATGACTTGAACATGAGAACTGTTATGTATGTTCTTGCACAGCTTTTGAAAATTCAGAATGTTTATACATTGTTATAAAAAAAGAGAAGAAAAAAAAACAGCAATTATGATAATTGGGTGATGCCCATTGCTTTTTTTTTTTTTTTAAACGGATTGAAAAAATTCCTTTTATGAGCACATTTGTATCATTTATGGGTTATTATTATTTTGTGAAGGAAGTTGTATTCTGTCTATGCTGTTTCTTTGATAATTATTAATTGCTGGAATTATGAAACTGAATGTGCATGTTTGACATCATAGAAATGTAAACATCACTGTGCAATTTTTGTTTTTGTTTTTTGATATTCTGAGATAGTATAATCTGAACAGCAAGGCAGGATTCGTGTAATGTAAACATGCTACCAATAGGTGACTTCTATATTTATACAGTGCTATCATTGTATATGTGAGTTCATTTTGCACCATAATTGAACCTACACCAGCAAGGAAATATTGAAAGAGACTATCAAAATGTATCATTAAAGTTGAACTTGCATTATGAGATTGATAGCCTATTTCTGATTCCATGTGAGTAGGAGAAGTGATTATGATATATTAATAGCTGATATAAAACAGCATAATCTATTTGACAGGAGGAAGAAAAGTGCAGTTGCAATGCATTGTACTATTATTATATATAAGAATGCTGATATTTAATGTAATTGGGTTTACAAATAGTAAAAGCTATGAAAGGGAATAACAATGGGAGAAAGGGAAAAAAAGATGGTGAAACTTCTTTTGAAGTTGGTAAACTGTGAAAGTATATATTTGGTGAGGGGTAATTAATTGTTATACCTAAAATTATTGTTATTATTTACTGTTATGAAAATGCTGTAAAGTTAAACTTTTAAGTATTGCATAAAAGTGTTGTTTTTATTATTTTTCATATTATTAAGTTCATAAATATTACTATTGCTGTAATTAATATTGTTTTATATATAATTGCTATCAATATTATTATTAACTGTAAATTTTATAATTATTATGCATCATATATTCATGTGTAATGTATAACTATTGATGTTGAATAATTTTCTAATTTTGAGGGAGGGAAGGGAAATACAGAAAACCTCCCTAAGAGGATCATGTGTGACTATTAATGATATTCAGTGTTAATATTGATCTACGCTGTCAGAAGAACTGATAATTTTAAGAGTTAAACTTGTTAGGAAAATGGTTCTTTCAGTAGTTTCACTGTGTTTTATTCTGTATGTGTATGTTTTACTTTCATTAAATTTAAAAAAAAAAAAAAAAAAAAAAAATCCCTCTTGTTATCCATATGTAGTGAAGGGATTCAGACTAATTGTTGTTAATATAACAAAGAATGTATTTAACTGAAAGTCCAAAAACATTTTAAATTTTGCTAACTGTTATTACTTTGTAAGGATAATTTCCTTAAAATTCTGATGTAATTTTGCCTCATTTAAAAGAATAGGAAAATTAATATATGTTTATTGAATCTCAATTTGGGGGGGGGGGTAGAGGGAGGCGTAGAAATACTGGTTTTAGCAGAATGATTTATTTAAACTTGCCTATGCATTATTCATTCTTTTTTTTATCTTTCAATGAACAAATTTATGTCATATGATCAGCAAATTTTAAGGACAGAATTGGTGATTTGTATATGTTATTATTTTGCTCAAGAATTAAGTGTGCTCTAAGATTTGAGTTGACATTATACTTTTCTAAGAAATTTTCGGTGTAAGTGAGAGCATATACTTTTCAAAAATTGAGCTAAATAGTTTCAGTTATATAAATGATTAACGAAAAACCATTGCTACTGAAGTTTTTTTTTTTTAATTTTATTTTTTTTTCTGTGCTAACTTATTTTATCTGGATATTTATTATTGGTCAAGATCATTTAGAATTCTGACAAGAAATTTCTCTTTTGACGTATTTGTGTTCTGAAATCTTAGTTTTTGGTTGATTTATTTAAAACTGGATTGAGTTTTTAAATCTAACTCTGGCTTACTACTGAATTTATTTAAAACCGAAAATGCGTTTCTTCTAGGCTTTAAATTTATGAATTTTTAGCATTTTGCCTTAGAAGGTATCTTGTAATTTGCATTATTTGGTATATTTTTTTCTGAAAGTAGCTTTGGAATGAGTTCTTTCAGTAAAAATGGATCAAAATTGCGATGGTGAAAAATTTGAAGGTGACCGCTATTCTGAAATGCAGTTACACTCAAATATTTTGTTGTGGCAATTTAGTTCCATTCTTACTTAATATGTATGTATGCCTTGCTTCAGAAGGTGTCTTCTAAATCATTGTTCTGGAATATAGACTTTATCATCTGCTATTTAATTTTCATTTCATATTTGAAAAGTATAATTTATTCGAATCTCTCACATTGTTTATTTTATGAGCTATGATTTTGCCCATGCATTGATATACAATTTACTTATGATTTTATTGTTAATGTGCATGGTAGGAAGTTGTTAGTGTTTTAATTTGTTAATTTTATGAACTCTTATTTTGCTGTAGTTATTTACCTTTATTTTTCTTTGTAAAATGCTTTAATTTATGCTTATTGTTATATTTGAATTTTTGTTAAAAAAGCATATTAAAAATTTTCTACATCCATGCTTTGTGTGTTTCTTTTTTAAATTTCCATTCAGTTTTATTTAAAGTTTGCATTCCCCTTGCACCACTGCATGTTTTAGAAAGTAGAGTATGCAATCTGTGGGTGGAAATATTGTATTAGTTTCAGTTAAATTTTTTGTACATTCAACCATCAAGAGAGGCATTTTGGTACTTATTGACAGGAATTCTTACTTTCGACATAGAGAAATAAATATTGTCCATTAAAACAATATATATTTCATAAAAACTGAAATTTCATATTTATAATATTGTATTACAGCAAGTAATAAGTAAATAAATAAAAGTTTGATTTATAATTTGCAGTATAAATGAACAGAATTTTAATAATTTTAAACAGAAAGTATGATTGAATAGATTGATTAAAATGATTAAAAAGTAAACATAATTAAATAAACATAAAACATAAAATCAGTATATGAGCACATTTTTATCTATACTCTGACAGAAATTGTTTCACTATCATTTCTATAATATAGTTAAGTAAGATTTGATCATAACACTGTCCCTGAATCGGTTGACATTGGGACCATCCATAAATAACTTCACTACTGGTTTAAGTGACAGCACAGCAGTATATGACCTGGCTTTAAATGAAATGTAATTAAAATTACTAGTTAGAAATGTTAAAAAAAAGTTACTGATAAAAAAAAAAAAATTCTTGAATTGCTATTATATTGATACCGTATTTGACGGCATATAAGACACGCTTTTTTTCCTAAATTTGGTCTCAAAAAAGTTACCTGCATCTTAGACGTGAAGGACACAGGTTAACTTTCAATACTGAATGCTATTTTTAGCCCAGATAAAGGTCTAGATGCACATAACTTTTTCTACATCTACATGTGTGTGGCCTTCTAAATAAGGGTGCGTCTTATATGCCGCCAAATATGGTAATACTGATGTGGACACAGTGAATAAATAACATATATGGAGATTTTGGAATGATGAAAATTAAACTTAGGTAAGCTTTTAAAGAACTAATTAAACATGGCGGAAATTTTAAGACTTTTAGAATGCCTTTTGATAAAATATATTTATTTATTTTGTACTCTACCTGTAATAGCTTGGCTTTGTATAAGTTAACATTTACTAAATGATTTTAAAATTTAAACAGTATTCAATTTAAATGGATTAATAACCTTGAATATAATCTTGTTAGAAAAGCAAATAAAATATTACAATACACCAGCAAAGTGTTCAAAAGAAATCTGGAAAAGTTTAATGGGTTTTGAGTCATATATAAAATGTCTTTCAACTCATATTATGCAATTTTTCTGGAAGAAAGTATGAATGATTCTGAAAATATGTACGTAAAGATAAAAAATTAGCAACTCAATCATTGTAGATAGGGAATTAAAAATTGTAACAAATAACATTTGATATTTTCGAAGATTTCAGAATGCTCTTATGCTAAGTCCTCAAATGATTAATTTTTTAAACAAAAGTATGAACCACTCTGGATGTATTAAAAGCTAAAGTTGTATATTATTATTATTTGTGAAAGATAGTAAGAAATGTTAAACAGAAGTGAAAGGGCTTAATCTCTGAAAATATGTTGTTGTAATGCAAGTTATTCTAAAAAATAGTAAGGTGCCTCATTTTGTGCAGTCATGTATCATGTAAAATACAAGTGACGTGCAGTTCATATGACAGTCATTGCTTTGATTATGAATTGAGTGCCTAGCACAGATGGATGGCAAAACATTGAACCGATTCATAATTCTGCTTTTTTATAAAATGCTGTTACCTTAAAGCAAGTTAGCCATATTGGCCCAATCTGGGTGGGTTGGAATAAGTCCTGTGTGAGACTGTGGGCATCAGGCATCCCACATAGTACTGGCAGGGTTCATATGGTCCTTAAGAGTCCTTAAAAGTCCTTAAATTTTTTGGAATTGATTTTTGGTCCTTAAAAGTCCTTAATTTTGGCCAAAATCAGCAGAAGGTCCTTAATTTTAATCATCTGAAATTTCTGTATGTTTTTATCACTGCCATTTTCAGTGTGAATTTAGCATTTTGGAGGAATATTTTTGGCGATTCACTGACTTATATGGTTATCTTTTGAATGGGTTCATGGGTTATAATTTGTTTCTATTTCTAATATAAATGATGGGTTACTCGAGTTTCTAAGCAAGAAGTGAAGTATAAGCATTTTGAAATTCATTTTTTCTAATAAAGAACTCTTAAACAACATTTCGCTTTTGGGGATGTGAATTCTTTTATTAAACGGCTCTAAATTTGGCGATTTGTCAACATTTTCACAATTTTAGGATCAGTTTCTATAGAAAATTTTTAATTCTGAGATCTGAGAATTTTTCGACCAATTTTTTTTTAAACATCATATGATAAATTTCATTGAAATTATGTATAAAAATAACATTAAAATAAAATATTCTATTTTTCTCTGTCATATTATAAAGTTTCATTTTGGCAACTTATTATACAATACTATGAATCTGATAAATAAGGCATATTGCTATAAAGCATAATTTACGAAACAGCTCTTAGCAAGAGCCAAATTAGCTATGTAATTAATTAAAATTGTCTTGTTTTTAATTTTTTCATAGTAAGCATTTTTCCTATGCAATTGTCTCGGAATATTCAAAATTCTCAGAATATGCACCAGTTTTCTCTATAAAATTAATATTACACTTTTTCTCTTTCTTTTTTTCCAAAATATTGCTGGCTTTTTGCTGTTACAGAATTGGTAGGGATAAGGGTTTGAAGGTAAGATTTATAGACCTATGATTCTAGAAGATTCGAGAAATATGTGACAAAATGAAAAATGTCTCCATGGTATGTATTTTACAGCAAGTTTGCGATGAATTTCTTACCTTTTGGAGAACGTCTGGAAGAACAATGAAAACATATTTATTTGAATGTTATACTCCTGATACTAGAATCTTTTTCTTAACATGTTTATCTTCTCTTTATTTTCTCTACCTTTCACTAGACAAAAAGCATCAAAAATGCTTCTAATCTTATCAGTGGGCAGGCATTATAGAAAGGGATTTTTTTATTAATAAAGAAATTGAAAACTTACAATTTAAAAGATTCACCTAATATGTCTTAATGCATCATACACAGAGCTGCCACTAGGCATTTTCCCACCTGATGCAATCTATGTGGTTCCTAAATTCTAAAAGTTTTGCTATTTTTAGATTTTATTTTCCGGTGTGTCGCTAAATTCTAAAAATTCTGCCACACCAGCTTTGTTACCGGGCTATACCATATGAATTTCACATTTCTTTTGAATGTTCATATTACTAAAGAAATAAAATTAGCCACTTTTTCTATACATTCTAAATGCATTTAATGCATTTTCTATGCATTCTAAATGCATTTTAGTGTTTTTTAGAATAACAGAAATCCTTAATTAGATCCAAAAATTCTAAAATGAAAAGGAAACTTGTTGAAGAAAGAAACTGAATACATAAAGAAAATTACTCCTCAAAGATATGTGCAGTTATTATTATGTAACTTACCCAATTGTTTATGATTTCAGCCTTTCAGTTTATGATTCAGTCTGGGGTTTGGGGCTATTTAACTTTTACCAGATCAAGAAAACCCTCATAAGGTACCTTGTGGAGAGGTTGACAAGTTAGGAGGTAAGCTTGCAGAAACTAGCGAGAGCATTGGTTTGCATATTGAGACAAATCT